GCCAATATTTTCTTCCAGTGTGATAGTTCCCTCTTACCACGGTGTGTAGCATCACAGGTTGTCACTAGTAAGTATGATGGAGGTATAAGATTAGTCCACGCCCAAATGTTGATTGTCCCGAAATGTGTCATCCTTTAGTCAACCCCTTTGAGTCGTGTGACTTCGAGGGTCGTTCTAAATGTAGGAGCTTCGTGCGTGTGAGCTTAAAGGTGTTAGTAGAACGACCCCAATCCTTTCTTCGTGTGTAAACATGAGTCGCTGGTGTGTCCCGGAGCTCTCACATTTGAGTTTCCATAGAGGTTCTACATAGGAGGTTTGTGTGCGGTTCTTGCTAGGAATGCAAAATAAAGTGTAGTGTTGGAGTGAGTTCCTCAAAAAGAGAGCATTGGTGGTTAAATGTGTAGGTGGCAAGTGTTTTTACTCTCTAGTACCCCCCTCAAAAAGGAAAAAAAAATGAAAAGAAAGAAAAACAAAAAAGAGGTCGTAAAATGGGGTAAATAAAGTAGAGAGTGCCACGAAAAACAAAAGTACATGCTCTAGGAGGGGTTTCTTGGCACCCAAGCCATCGAAACCCCCACATTGTTTTAGAACTCCTTCACTACCAAACCTTAATGAGCTAGCAAGAGATGACCGAGGAAGAGTGATTCAAGGTAGTTCACGATGGGTGATAGTTGGAAGGGAGAGATAAGGTTTTTGGCCGATGCTAGTGGCCTTTGATTGAAGAGAAGGGTTTTAGTCAAAACCATAGAACCTTCGGGTTTAGGTTGAAGATGTAGAACCTCACGTCATGATTGCCACCACCCAAAAAGCATTTTCCCCATGTCGAAGACAATTGCCAGTCATATGAACTCGTGTCTAAGACCTCCGTACGAGCTAGTAGTGACAACCATCCCGTGAACTCTAGCATTTAGAGGTTGCCGGCGTGGTATTGAGACAATAGGGCCGAGATTTCATGATTGTGCACATCTTTTGCACCAAAAAGGTTCTGACCCCACTGGTATTGAGAGTGAGTGATTCATTCTTATTTTACTTACCATTTCATACCCCGGTGAGGACCTTTGTTGCCTTTCCATTTGTTCCTCAGACTTGAATTCCATGCATGGTCGGTTGTGATTGATAAGTGGTGTTGTTGAGACTTGCATTGATCCATGAACAAGGTGAGAACTTTTCGTTTGCCCGTTTTTGGTGGCTTCGAATGTCGTTTGTGGTGGATGTCGGTATTGCTTGCAACGGTCCATGTGTTGATTGCCAATAACCATTGAGAATTCCCGCTTCGTGCCCTTTGAGATGTCCCCAAAGTATTTGTGTAGGTTGAAATATTACCTTGTGTGAAATGGTTTACTTGGGGACAAGAAAACGTCTAAGTGTGGGGAGCGATTCGAGCCTAATTGTACATGTTTTGCCCCCGGTTTACTTAGGTTTTTGTGCCAAATTCACTCCTAAAAGGTTGGTTTTATGCTAGGTTCCTCATGTTTTAGTTTGTTTCAAGGTGGAACCAGCCTCGGAGTCGAAAGTTGGGCGAAAAGGATCGAAAAGCAGGAGAAGAGGTGAAAAAGGGCCCGTTCACGGCTAACCAAGGAAGTTCACGGTCTTGCATGACCGTGAAGAAGAGCCCTTGACCGTGAATCGCGAGGCGTCTAGAGCCAAAATGAAGGTTACTGACGCAAGGTGAGTTCACAGTCACTAAGACCGTGAACAAAGGTTGTTGACCGTGAACATAAGAGATCGACGCGGTGCATTTTGGCGCACACCTACAGTTCACGGACGCGTTTCGTGGTTCACAGCCATGAACTCAGCTCGTTTCTAGTTTAAATGGTGAGCTGAAAGGAGGAGTGAGGGGAGAGCCCATATTGTGTGAGAAGCCTTCTTCAGAATTCTAGAGAGAGAAACACGAACTAAAGGGAGAAGAAGGCTAGGGTTTTGCCTCAAGGCATATTTTGGGAAGCTTTCCTCCAAGGAAAGCTCAACTCAAGGACCAATAAGACTGGGAGCATCCTTCAAGATGATTTCCACCTCTTTCCCTTTTGTTTTCCCCACTTCTAGCATGGAGTAAACCTCTTTTCACTTGGGTGTTGTGAAATCGTAACTCTACCATGTAGTTTTCTTTTATGTGTATTGGATGATTGTCATTGGGTATTGTTTAATTCAATGATTGAGGCATTATTTTTCATGATTTTGCATGCTTGTGTTTAGCAACCTAGGGGTTGTGCATGTTTTGTGCTTAGCATCCTTAGGTTTGTGCATTTAGGTGCTTAGCAATCTAAGGATTGTGCATAATTGTGTTTAGCACCCTTAGGTTTGTACATTTTAGTGCTAGCTATCTAATTAGCCACCTTAGCCTTGCTTAGAGAGGAAAATCTCCCTTCCAAGGGTGACTCAATCGAGTTGATTTTCCTTTCGCTTTCTAAGCCATCTAACTAGGATAAGTTACGGCAACCCTCAATGTTGACTTAAGCAAATCAGTTAATTGCGATTGAACCGTCCGACCTTTTAGTTGAGTGAGGGAGTAAGTCAATTACCGATTGTCTAAACCAAGAGGGTCGAGTGACACGGCCTTCATGCTTACCTCGGCTTAGCAATTGAGATTGCGGTCTCTGACCACATATGCATCCCTATGCGGTTCGCGATCACCGTGCCCAAAGCAATTGTTCCAATTTACATATCATTGTAACAGTTAGGGGGAAGTGACACCCGAGTGATCTTTCTACAAAAGAGTTTCCAAAACCATTTACCCTTGCCCTTTTGTTATTTCAATTAGCAAACCTTTAAACCAAACTTTGTTGCTAGATAATGATTTCAACAACTGAAGTAGGTGTGGACGGACTGGCCCGGGTCGATATCTAGTTAGGGTTTTATTGTGGTGTAGTTTCGTGTGAGTCACATTCGAAATTGGTGGGTGCCGGTATTGCTTGTGACAGTTCATTTGTTGATGGCAAATAAACATTGAGATTCATCCATTGTGTGCCCTTTGATTGGACCCCATGTTTTTGTTGTTGGGTTGAAATATTGCCTTGTTCAAGATTGGTTTGCATGGGGACAAGCAAACATTCAAGTGTGGGGGAGTGATTCGGGCCTAATTGTACACATTTTACCCTCATTTCTTGATAGTTTGGCTTTGCATTTCATCATCCCTCGACATATTTCATGCTAGGTTGTGCAAGGTCGAGGACGAGTTTTGGGACGATTGGAGGATAAAAAAAGTGCAAAAACCGAAGCAAAGTCCAAAGTCATGACCGTGACAATTGCCTTGTAATATTGAAGTGCAGGCATCTAGGTTTCAGGCCATGTTCATGGTCTCCTAAGGCCATGAACTGATGCCACAAACTGTGAACCGCTAAGCGTCCAGGGCGATTTCCGAGGTTACTGACGCAGCGGGAGTTCACGATCACTAAGAATGTGAACTTTGATTGCAAACCTTGAACTCAAGTGAGTGAAGCGGTGCGTTTCGACACAACACGCCGAGTTCACGAACGTGTTGAGGAGTTCATGGCCGTGAATTGGAAGGCCATGAACTCAGATCGATCTCAATATAAAGGGAGAGCTGAAAGGAAGAAGAAAGGGGGAGCTTTATTTTTAGGTTAGGTTTTCATTTTTTAGAATAAAGAGGATTCTAGTGAGAGGTTAGGGTTTCTTCTAGAGTGAGAAAGTTCAAATCAAAGGTGGAAGAATGAGCTTTGGGCTTGTTCCTAGCAAGAGGATTGAAGATTTGTTCACCTCAAGGGTGTCTCAAGCAACAAGGAGGAAAGATTGGCATCACTTCATGGTTCGTTCTTCCCCTTTTGTTGTTTTCTCTTGTCTAGCTATGGAGTAGCCTACCTACTCACTTGGGTATTGTGAATCCTAGTCTCTCTATGTGTTAGGATGTAAGAACATGGACCTATTGTTTTGACTGAGTGTTTTATATGATATTTGTGATATTATTCATGAATGTTTGATTGTGCTAGCTTTAACTCAATATTGGCTAAAATTGACTTAGAGGGTGGAAATCCCCTTTTGGTCCAATAGGAAGATAGACTCCTTGCCACTTGGGTAACCTCCTTTAGGTCGATTTAAGACTAAAATCTCAAGTATCTGAGTAGGGCCGTGATTCCACCGGGATTGGTCTCTCCTCCGAACGGATTAAGTTCTGAGGGTTTGGTTTGCAATCCTTAGTCGGCTAGTCGAGAGGGTTAGGTTTCCTAGCCTATCGTTGTCACCTTTACCCGAGAGGTTAAGTGAGGTAGCTTTCTAACTTGTTGCAATGATTCTCAATTAGTAACTAAGAGAGTTATGGATCTCCTTGGTTGGTCGGTGAAGGGCTAGGTTCCGTAGCTATCAATCACAATCCTTAACCTAACAGTTAAGAGAGCTAGTTCTCCTATCTTATATTTGTCGATTGTCCTTCATCGTTCGACTAGGGGAGTTTGTCCCTATCTAGTTGCACCCACCTCGCGGTGTATGAACATCCTTCACACTTGGGCTTTGTTTGTCGCTTCTTAGCATGAGACTAGGGGGAGCAATACCCGGGTGAAGTTCTCTCGTGTAGAATTCTCATCACTTACTTTCCTTGCTTGTTTAGTTTGTAGTTTTCTTAGTTTTATACACAACTTTTTTGGTAGATAACAACTTAAGCGATTGAAGTAGGGGTACATGGACCGGCCCGGGTTTGACAATTAAATACTTGCCCTATACTGCACCCGGTTAGAATTAAAAAACTTGGGCTCTAGTCAGGATATAATTCGCGGTGTAGTTTTGAGCGAGTCACTTGGAAACTATTTATTTTAACTAGTTATTAAAATGTCACTGTTCAATTATGAGTTACACAAAATGTAAGGTACAAATCTAATAACTAATGGTTTGATGAATGACTACTTGACTGAACATTTTTACCTAATTCTAATAACTAATGGTTTGATGAATGACTACTTGACTGAATATTTTTTAGAAAATTTACTTAATAATTGAATACAATGTTATAATGATTTTTTCGTAAATGAGACTCCACTTAACTCGAATCTTGGCTACGCCACTGCTCCGCCTCCCCTGCTCCCGCCATCTGCTCTCTCATTGTTGCTACTCAAGCGTCGGTGGAAGGATGAAGAATAAGCAAGCTGGCCGGCCGCTGCTGTTCCTGAGCAGCTCGCCGCCGACAAAAGAAAGAAGACGCCGCCGAGCTTATTACTTGCAAGGGAGGTTGGAGGCAAGCAGTGGAAATGCTTTCCTGCGATGATCCATGGATGAGAATTCTTCCTGGTCGATACTCCCTCTGTTTTATCACAGTTTAACAGGAGTGCTTTGTCATTTCGGCGATGATCCATGCCATTGTATGCTTCCCTCGTTGAAGTTAAACCATGTGACTTGTCAGAGTTGTTTAATTTATAGAGTTAGATTTCCTCCAACCTCTCCATGTCCCCTTTTTCCATTTATGCAGAGGGAGGAAATGCTATACATTTGTTTGCAACTTTTCTAAGAATACTGTTTGTAATGTTTGATAATCAACTTGCATGCTGATAATCAGTGTTATCGGGCAACGAATATGGTACAAAGTTTGCGTTAATTGGTGTAATATTTTGTTATTTGGTTTAGTATATGTATATGAGTTTATTTTGAGGTTTAAGTGTTTGAAATACAAACAAATGAGCTAAGGGCATAAAAATAAATTTAACTTAGTTAGAGCGATGAATAAGGAATTTTAGGGCGACGAATAGCAATGCCCTATATATTGCATACTTCCACTCAGTATTGATGAGCTCACCTTCCGCTTTAAGCACTAGAATGAAATTCCCAAATAGTATATAATAGATTTTTTTTGTTTACTTTTCAACATTTCAAAAATTTTGGGTTGTCCTAAATTGTACAATGGGTATAGTAGTAATTATCAAAGTTCAAATTTTTTTTATACTTATTACAGATTTTTTCTCTAACTGTTATCTGGAGGAAAAAAAAAACAAGTTCTACTGTCCCACGTTTGTATTGAGCGCAAGAGTCGCTACCTCTTTTTCAATTAATCGTCCAGGTCCCAAGTGTCTCTTTCGCTCCAACAGATCCATTATCAATAAATCTTAGCCATTTTCATTCGTCATTGTTAATAACCACCTGCTTTCTTTCTCCTCTTTTGTATACCAGTTTCTCTTCTCGCTTGACTTTTTGTTAAGGTAGAGAAATTTGCGTCTACAATTTTTTTTAAGATTAGGATGTGCTTTTTGAAACACACCATCGATCTTCTCTTATATTATCTTTAAACAACCATACTTATCATTCTCGACAACCAGTAACACTTTGGGGTCTCTCCCGAGATATGACTACAACTTTAATTTATTCGCTCCTTTCTCTATGTTCTTGAAAAAAAAAAAACATTGAGGAATGTCTCTCCTTGGATATGATTGTATAGGAATTCGACAGCAATGATTTTCTCCAAGTACTCATATTTAACCTCTTAAATACACCTTATTCATCGATCGAAATAAGGCGAAGAAGGTGATGGCTCTACCTTGCCTCCACATCCATAGTAAGTTGATCTTCATAGGTTTTATCTTTCCATTTGCATTCATGTATTTCTCCTTTCATGTGTGTGGCTAGAGCATAGGTTGTTTAGGAAGTGGAACATGGAGAAATTTCAGGATTATTAACTATAATATAATTATATTTATGGAGGTATTAATAATTTGTGCTTGTTGTTCCTGCTTGATTGTCACAATTTCGTAAAAGTATGATAGGAAATTGTCCTTGTATGATTTATCTCTGATTTTCGCATAGGCATGATAGAAAAATGCGTCCATGTGTTCTTAATTTAGATATGATTAGGAATTGCGCCTAGAGTATTGCTAGATCACAAAGTTAGGAATTACTTGAATCCATTAGTCTTGCATGTTATTAATGATAAATGTTAGGGCAATTTATGTTAGCCAATAGTATAACTAGACTTTGTCAAACCATTCTAGTATTGGTTGAATTGTATGCCAATTATTTTGTTGTGATGAGTCTTGACACATGTGTGCCAATTATAAGGAAAAGGAATAAAGATGATGTATATGACATATCCGTAGATGTGGGTACGGTTCATTTATCCATTGTCATTACTCCAGAACATTCTAGGCATTCTCAACTTGCTCATTCCTCTGTCAAGTCCTTATCTAGTTTGCTTAGGTCTTAGTCTCTTTGATGCTTAGCTTTGTTATAAGAGTCATAAGGTGTGATTTTATGTTACCACATTAACTAGTGCTTATCCTTTCGACCTTCTATACTCGGATGTGTAGGGAACAGCTTCCATTTTTTCTATTGCATAGCTCAATATCTTACTTCTATGGATTATGGTTTTATCCGGTTAACACAAAAAACCGTATTATTTTGGATTCTTCATTGATTTTCAAGAAATGGCGAAAAAAGTTATCGACCACCATTTGCATAATCACCTCAGATGGTGGTGTTTAATTTTCCAAACTTCGTTCAACTCTAGCTCCTCATGCTCATCTTCGAATCCAACCACACACGTTGGAGCACAATGGCTTTGCGGCACAATAACATCATCACATTTAGGAGTGACTATACATTCCGGTCCGAATAAATTGGTCTGATTTAATCTGGTCCGGATCCAGTTTATTCTGGAATATGAGGATAAAAAATGGATTGAATACAATCCGGTGTTAATCCGGTTCGGTCTTGACACGGTCCGGTCCCACTCCAGTCTTGATTTTAGATTGACCTTGTGGCGATTTGAGTGGGTGGAGGCCTGAAAGTGATAAATTCGTAAGGCGGAATCGAAGCAATCACACGACATGAGAATTTAACGTGGTTCATGTCGCTCGATGTGAATGTCGCTACTCCACAGAGAAACTAACATGCTCTCAGGGTTTAGCGTTTTGTATATTATGATGCCTACATACTCTCTACAGAGAAGAGCTACATATAAGGCCCATCATCTAGTAACTAGGGCACGAAAATAAGGACAAAAGACAAAATTGTCCATGCCCATGCACGCACAACACGTGCGAGTCACGACCTACAACTCATGACCTCTAAGACACCTCCTCAAGCGAAGGCATGGATGTCATACATGCCAAGCTTGGAACGAAGAAAAGCAAAACGCTCTTCGTCCAAGCCTTTGGTGAACAAATCAGCCATTTGATCTTGTGTAGAAATCTTTCGTGGCACAATCTCTAAAGAAGCAATACGCTCACGAATAAAATGATAATCGATCTCCACGTGTTTAGTACGCTCGTGGAAGACTGGATTAGCAGATATACGTGAGGCCGCTTGGTTGTCACGATGCAGCGGGGTAGGACCAGAAGAAGACACCCCTAGCTCATGAAGTAACCAACGTAACCAGACCACTTCACCGACCCTATTAGTCATGGCATGATACTCGACTTCGGATGACGATCGGGCCACCACAGTTTATTACTTAGTACGCCAAAAAACAGGGCTATCACCAAGAGTAATAAAATAGTCGGTTGTCGAGCGTCTGGTATGCTGACAGCCTCCCCCACCTGCATTGCAGTAAGCAATTAAAATAGGCGTCCCTGCAGCTGCGAAAAACAATCCTTTACCAGGCGCACTCTTCAAGTAACGAAGGACGCGATGGGCTGGTCAACATGGGCTTGTAGCGGAGAATGCACCGCCTGACTCAAGATGTTGACTGCATAAACAATATTAGGCCAAGTCACAGTGAGGTATAATAGGCGACCACGTCCCATTAGACGACGATATGCAGCAGGATCGGGGGTAGCAGCGCCCTCATCTAAACAAGTGAGCCGATGATTTTGCTCAATGGGGAAGGAACAAGGCCGAGCACCCTGTACACTAGCATCGACAAGAATGTCGAGCACATACTTCCGCTGAGTGAGCAAAATACCCTTTCGTGACTGGGCAACTTCAATGCCCAAAACGTGCTTCAAGGTGCCCAAATCCTTGATGTTGAACCGAGCATGTAAGAACTCCTTGACTTGCTGAATGTCAACCAAAGAATTTCCTGGCAAGAGACATCATCAATGTAAATTAATACCACCAAAAACACGTCACCACGATGATAAGTGATAAGCGAGTGATTAGCCTTGGACAAGGTGAATCCAAACTCGCCGATGGCAGAGGTGAACTTTGTATACCAATTATGAGATGCCTATTTCAAGCCATAAATAGACTTGCGAAGTCGACATACTCGATTGTCAACAGGATAAGCAAAACCTTGAGGAACTTTCATATATACTTCCTTCTCCAAGTCGTCATGCAAGAAGGCGTTGTGACTTTTTGTTGATGTAGGAACCAACCACGCTGTGCGGTTAAAGCAATGATGCAACGAATAGTGACCAACTTGGCAATGGGAGCAAAGGTGTCATGAAAGTCCACACCTTCCACCTGAGTTAACCCTTTAGCGACTAGGCGCTCTTTATAGCGTTCAATGCTGCCATCCGAATGATACTTGATTTTGTAGACCACTTGGAGTCAATAAGTTTGCGGTGTGCTGGTAAAATGGTAAGCTCCCAAGTACCATGCTTGAATTTTCACCTCCTTCTGCATTGCCTTACTCCACCACACATAACGAACAACTTCATGGAAGAACCGAGGCTCCGTAGTGCATGAGATAGCTGCATGAAATGATGAGGCCAAGAAGGGACTCGAACGATCAGAGCACACAACTATATTTAGTATTGTTTGGTATTTTGGTATATACCGATCCGAATCCAATAATTCATAATACCGAATAACAATTGAAATTGAATCCCAATCCCAAGAAATAATACGTGTATTCGGTAATACCAAATATAGAAAAATTCGGTGCGGTATTCGGTATATCCCAAATACCGGTACCAAACTTCCAGCCCTACCTGCAGGATATGGACACCAAAATCAAGCACCTGGCGGATGCTCTTGCTTCCAGAACGACTAGCACACTTCTTGGCCAAACCCTGCCAAATCTCAGAAATCAAAAGAGGGGTTACACGCCATCACGCTGAGAAGTGGGACTATGACTGCGATTACACCGCCGAAGAGTACCAAGACGGTGATACAGATCACCCTAGACCCAAAAGTGGACCTGGTGATGGAAAAAGAGCCGAAGGCTTGAGTTCCAAAGCCATATCTAGTAGTGGCTGAATATAAGTCTAAGCTCCCTTTTCCCACCAGGATGTACAAAGATAGGCTTGAGGCAGAGTTTGGCAATTTCATGTCCATGCTCAGGAAGTTGAATGTTGAAGTGAACTTCATGGAGGCACTATCTCAGATGCCTAAGTATGCGAAGTTCCTGAAGGATCTACTCTCGAAGAAGCAGAAGCTGAGTGAGCTGGCCACTGTGGAGCTTAGCAAGGAGTTCTTGGCCATTCTGCAGAATAAGCTTTCGCCGAAGCAGAAGGACCCATGTAGTTTTACTATCCCGTGCTCCATTCGAAAATTGCATGTAGAGAGGTCATTGGTGGATCTAGGTGCTAGTATCAATGTTATACCATATAAATTATTCAAGAAACTAGGCCTAGGTGAACCCAGTGCAACTAGGATGAGTATTCAATTAGCTGACCGATCTGTAGTTCATCCTAGGGGCATAGTGGATGACCTCCTGGTTAAGGTTGGCAGATTCTTTTATCCTGTGGATTTTGTTGTCTTGGACATCAATGAAGACGCAGAAATGCCCCTTATACTGGGAAGGCCTTTCCAGGCCATCGTCAAGGCTCTCATAGATGTGCATGATGTGACCTTAGTCTTGAGAGATGGCGAGGAGTAGATAACATTTTCCATTGCTAATAATATGACTGCTATCTTGCCTGTGCATGCTATCTCTCACCAGGTGCACGAGTCTGTCATGTATCCTTTTGTGCCTTCTGTTTTGCAGGGCCTCCCATATCTTCGCCACCACCCTCGTCCATCCCGTTCACAAAAGAAAAGATCAAGGAGGAGTGGCGGCCGAAACTGCAGGTAGCTAAGCCTGCTCAAAAGAAAGCTGGAGACCACTATGAGTTGGTCCCGCCCCCTGAGCCACGACCACCCTGGCCATTCGAGTAATCACTCGCTTGCATCCAGCCGGATGGCCAAGTCGAGTTGACAAGTGCTGGTGGTCACACCCGTGGTGTGCATGGCCACCATTTGAAGCTGTACCTCAAGAGCGATGTGGATCCGCTCTTGGAGGCACATGTTCCTACACCTCTCTGAGCATCCACTCTCTGCGTCCAGCTTAAGACGTAAAAGAAGAGCTTGTGGGAGGTAACCCCACCACGGCTTGTTTTTCTTTTCTTTGTTTTCGGTTTTTTCACTTGGAACTATGGTTTCTATCACCCAGTGTGTTTTGATGACTTTGGCTCTGTGGACTGGTCCACCTTCCAGTCTGCTTTTGATGACTGGTCCCATTTCCATTCCCCCAGTAGTCTGTTTTCCCGGTAACATCGTTTCCCCTTATCTTTCCCTCTGTTCCATTATGGACAGTGTTGAACTTAAGTTTGTGTGTGTGTGTGTGTGGGGGGGGGGGGGGGGGGGGGGGGGGTTCTATTTGACTGTTCATATATGTGATAGACCGTTAATTACACATGTTTTTACCCCTGTTCTTACACCGTTTGAGGTGTTGATTCTCATGTTTTAGGCCGATTTCACGCTAGGTTGTGCTTGTTTGTCATATTTCAGGTCCTAGTACGTGAATGGAGGCTTGGGAGCGAGTTTGGGGTCGATTGTACGAGAATCGGGCGCGTGGCGAGGTGCTAAGGAAGCTGCACGGGCATTCCTGGAAACCACACGGCCGTGCAACTCACAATTGTGGCCGTGTGGTTTTTGTCGAGAGCATGCACGGGCAGGATGGAGACCCCGCACGGCCGTGCGACCCTGGCCGTGTGGGAAGCCTAAGTTCGAACTAATTGGAACGCAGCGTTTTGACTCGCACGGGCAACTGGCTGAGCCACACGGCCGTGTGGCCTGCCCGTGCGAGTCGGGAAATCTTGGTTTTTTCAGCCAATTTCGAGCCACAAGGGGGAGGATCGGACTTTTTGAGCAAAAACAGAGCCCTAGAGAGAGAAAGTACGAAGAATACATCCTAGAAGCTATCTTGGAGCTGGGTTTCATCGAATCGAGCTTGGAGATCGTCCTAGGAGTGGAAATCATCATCCCGGAGCAGATTTTCCTCATCTTTATGAGTATGACTACTCTGATTACTGTTTTCCTCTCTCTCTCTATGGACTAGAACCCCTCTCTCACTTGGGGATGAAGAACCCTAGTTCTATGTGTTAGGGATTGATTGTAATGACTTGGGATGATATTACTGTTTGATTTTAATCGAATGATGCATGTTTATTGAGTCAATTGAAGTCTGATCAACTTTTCCTGATTCCTGCTGCAATCTGAGATAGATAGAATCTGATTAGGTTGCTAGAGTCTCATCATTCGATAGTAGGAGATTCGCTATACGAGAGTTAGCCAGTTTACTGCTTTGTACTGGAATTCAATTCCAGTAGTGGAGTTCTGTTCTTACTGCTTCAGCTTTCTATCCCGGTGAAGACTAGTCGTCTGCCGGGTAGTTAGACTGAGAGGGCTTGGTCAGCTTAAGAGATTCCAAGCTACTGTCGGATCTTTCTCAGTCTAATCAACAGTAAATCAACCCAGGGAAATTGCAATTGAACCTAACTAAGGAGCTAGGGGGACTCATTCCCGAGTGACTCTTACCTGCTTGAGAAAACCGTATCAATTCCTGCTTTCTTTCTGCTTTTGCTTTTAAACAACAATCACTTACTTTAGTTGGCTAGATAACAGAGAATCACTGAGTAAGCAGTAGATCTAGACCCCGGGTTGATAATATAACTTGCCTATTACTGCATTCCCGGTCTGCGATTATACTTGGTCGCAGATTGGTGTTGTGTTTTGGCGTGTCAAGTTTTTGGCGCCGTTGCCGGGGAACCTCTAGGTTATTGGGGAAACGTGAGAATTTGTTACTCTAGCTTTTTATTTACTGCATTTTATCTCTTCCACCTGTCGCCTTCACGGGTTGCTTCTGCTGATTGTGTGCAGGTAGTGCATGACCCGTAGCCAGTCGGGAGATCTACTACCACTAGACCAGGAGCTTGAACGAACCTGCAGAAACTTCAAGCGGGCTCTAAAGGTGCGACTGGCTGCGGAGGAGGCGCTATCACAGCTGCAGTTAGAAGAAGAGGAAGAAGAGATGGCTGATCCACAGGGCCATGCTGTGATCGATCCCGAGGAGCAGACGATGGGACATTACTGGACCGCCAGGGCTGCAGACATGAGGTCACCCATTCAACACCCTCATGTCCCAGCCAATAATTTTGAGGTGAGCACCTCAGTAATCACCATGCTGCGCGGTTCAGTGGTGTTCCGTGGTAAAGAGGGGGAGTGCCCTCGTTCACATCTCAGGCGATTCCACGAGCTCATTGATGGAATCAAGATCAATGGGGTACCATCAGATGCCATCCAGCTGAGGTACTTCCCATTCACCCTGGAGGGGCAGGCCAAGGAGTGGCTAGACACTCGACCTCCAGGCTCCATCACCACGTTCGCCAACTTGGCGGACAAGTTCCTCACCCGCTACCATCCTCCGTCGAAGACGGCGGACTTGCAGAAGCAGATCACCCACTTCACCCAGGATGAAGATGAGACCATCCAGGATGCTTGGGAGAGATACAACAGTCTCTTCCTGAGGTGTCCCAATCATGGTTTCAACGATGCTTTCAAGGTGGGAACCTTCTATCATGCCCTCTTCCCGGAGGACAAGCAGCGGATTGATTCGGTCTGTGGCGGGAACATGCTGACCAAAACACCGCCACAGCTGAATCAACTCTTTGAGGAGATGGCGGAGAACGGGTACGATTGGGGCACTGCCAGGAGATCGAGACGAGCACCAGGCCGGGGTGTGCATGCTGTGGGCACCCAGTCATCTGATCTGGTGCAGGTGGTATCGAAGCTGGTTTCAGCTATCGATCGTTCTGGTTTGATTGCAGGTACAGGACAGCCGCAGGCGATGCACTGCCAGTGGTGTGAGAGCTCCCATCACACCGTAGAGGACTACCAGGCGATGAGGGAATCGTCTACTCCCCAGGAGCAGGTGGACTTTATCAGTAATGCCAGGCGCTTCGACCTCTACAGCAACACTTATAACGAGGGGTGGCGCCAGCATCCTAACTTTTCCTGGGCTGGGGCAAACCCCAAACCACCATCTTCCCAGGGACCACCTGGCTTCCAGAGGCCTCCGTAACAGCCCAGACAGGGGCAATTTCAGCAGCCACAGCAGCCACTCTACCAGCCCAGACAGGGGCCAGTTCCACCACAGTCACAGGTGCGACCATTTCAGCAGACAAGACCAGCACCTGCAGCTCCAGTACAGAGTGACCCGATGGCGGAATTGAGAGATTTGGTGGGTTCTCTGGCCACCTCCAGTGCGAACAAGTTCAATAACATCGAGCAATTCATGGAGAAAGCTTCAGGCAAATTCTTGGAGCTAGAAGCTAGCCAGAGGAACACACAGGGTGTCTTGCAGGATATCCAGACCCAGCTGGGGAGTGTGGCTCAAGCAGTGGCACAAAGGGCTCCTGGTACCTTGCCCGGTCAGACCATTCCTCACCCTCAGAACCCGAATGAGCACTGCAATGCCATCATGACTAGGAGTGGCAAGATGACTGTTGATCCACCTGCTCGGGAACAAGAGAGAGAGAGGCCCCTGCCTCGGCATCTCCAGCAGCTGAAGTAGAAGCCAAGAAGGAGGTTGAGGTGCCTGCACCTAAACCGCAGCCAGTAGTGAAGGAGTATATCCCTAAACTCCCCTTCCCTACTCGGTTGCACAAAGACATGCTGGAGGCAGAGTTCGAGAGCTTCATGGCCATGCTTAGGAAGCTGAATGTCCAAGTGCCTTTCCTGAAGGCACTATCTCAAATGCCTAAGTATGCGAAGTTCCTGAAGGATCTTCTCTCAAAGAAGCAGAGGCTAAGCGAGCTGGCCACTGTGGAGCTCAGCGAGGAGTGCTCGGCCATTCTGCAGAACAAGCTTCCGCAGAAACAGAAGGACCCAGGTAGTTTTACTATCCCGTGCTCTATAGAGAATCTGCATGTAGAGAGGTCCTTGGCGGATTTAGGTGCTAGTATAAATGTTATGCCATATAAACTGTTTAAGAAACTAGGCCTAGGTGAACCCCGTGCTACTAGGATGAGCCTTCAATTAGCTGACCGATCTGTAGTGCATCCTAGGGGCATAGTGGAAGACCTTCTGGTTAAGGTTGGAAAATTCAATTATCCTGTTGATTTTGTGATTTTGGACATAAATGAGGATGTGAATGTGCCATTGATACTAGGAAGGCCTTTCCTGGCCACCGCCAAGGCCCTCATAGATGTGCATGATGGGACCTTAGTTCTGAGGGATGGTGAGGAGCGAATAACATTTTGAATTTCTAATACTCTTCCTGCTTCGTCACCTCTGCATGCTATATCTCACAAGGAGCACGAGTCTGTCGTGTATCCTTCTGCGTTTCCTATTTTGCAGGATCCGCCTCCCATACCTTCGCCGCCACTCCCGTCCACTCCGTCATCAAAGGAACAGATTAAGGTGGAGTGGCGGCCGAAACAGCAGGCAGCTAAGCCTGATCGAAAGAAGGCCGGAGACCACTATGAGCTGGTCCCGCCCCCACCTTGGCCATCCGAGTATTCACTCGCTTGCATCCTGCCGGATGGCCAAGTTGAGTTGGCAAATGCTGGTGGCCACATTCGACATGTGCATGGCCACCATTTGAAGCTGTACCTCAAGAGTGAGGTGGATCCGCTCTTGAAGACACCTGCTCCTTCACCTCACCAAGCATCCACCGACTGGCGTCCAGCTAAAAGACGGTAAAGAAGCGCTTGTGGGGAGGCAACCCCACCTAGGTTTGCATTTTCTTACCTTTTTCTTTTTGATTTTTTGTGTTTTTTGAGTCTTGAGATGTTGTTCCAGAGTCGAATGTTGTTTTTGAGTGAAAACAGGTTGATTTTGGGGCTCCAGCAGTTCACACGGCCAAGCCTTAAACTCACACGGCCGTGTGGATTCATTCCATTGGCCGTGTGAGCTCTTGACAATTTTCACACGGCCAAAAGTGCAGCTGGCACGGCCGTGTGGATTGGCCTAGCCTGGCCGTGCGGCCGACACGGGCAACTCATTTTACCGCACGGCCGTGTGAAGGAGTGTCCAGGCCGTGTTTGCTCTCGCATAATATGGCACGGCCAAATGAGCACTCGGCACGGCCGAGTGAAATTCCTCGGCCAGGCCGTGTAGGTCAGGCCGTGTGGCCGAGACACGGCCTATATATTCGGCCAGCACGGCCGGGTCGTCAGAAAATCCCAATCCACTCGCCGGAAACCTCTCCCCCTCGCCGGAAAACCGCGCCAAAACCCCACTTTTCGATTTTTTCGGCCATTTTTTGTCATTTTTTTACCAAACCAACAACAAACCCACCCTTCCTACACCAAAAGCGGCCTATCCCTCCATTTTGAGGAGATTTGGCCGACGTGTTTGTCGCCGGAGGCGATTTCCGGCGAGACTCCGGCGAGGCTCCGACGAGCACTTCCGGGCACTTTTTCGGCGTTTTGTCGCTTCCATCGCCTTCCCCTCATCATCCCCTACTCCTCTACTTGAGTCTCTAGGTTTGATTTTGCCCTTAACTATGTTAATTGTGGAGAATTGGGTGTTAGGGTGCATGTTTAGAGAACCTCATTGAATCTTGTGATTTTTGTGCAATTGATTGAGGGGAAGGCATGGAGTGTGTTTGAATTGTGTTGGGCAAAGTCCCTCTTGATTGTTTGAGCCCTTGTGTGCAAGAATTGTGCCAATTTCATGCTTACCTTAATAGTGCACACAAGGTGTTCGATGAAATGCCTGTTTTCGTACCATTTTGTGGGGGTCGGTTGGGGCCCTTAATGATGTGCTTTGAGGGTTTATTTGGTATGGATGTGAACCTTAAGTTTCCTACTTGTTCATGGATGTGCACCCCCACTCAGATTATGCTTGCTTTATCGAGTTTCTGACCCCCGAACTATGGATGAAACCATGGTTAGGCTATTTTCTGTTCTTAAGTGTGGGGGTGTGATTAACATTTTCCTTGGGTGTTTTGGTTCCACTTTGGGCTGTTCTTTTGCGGGATCATGTCGAAGCCCAACCTCCGGCATCAGTATGTTCAAGATTTGAGAAGGGGGGCCCACCGGGATCATTTTCAGAACGTCCTGGCCTGCAAGTTTGGGCAGCACCATTACTGGTCGAAGCGCGAGTTGGAGAAGCTCAACTGCTACGAGCACCTCTCCCCCGTTGTCACCAACAAATACTGGCGCCGCCTACTCAGCATCCGCGGGACGGTTTACCATGAGCTCGTGCTTGAGTTCTACACCACCTTCAAGCACGCAGCCACGGCCGATTGGAAGGACGAAGCTGTAGTCCAGTTCCGACTTGGCGGTGAACCACGCTCTATGAGTTACGACGAGCTGGCGGACGCCCTGGGCCTCAACTTGGTCAATGACAGGGACTTCATCACAGAGGTCGCCGAGCCCGACAGGGTGGACTTCGGGAGGCTGTACTTCAGCCTCGCTCGGCCACATCAGCTTCCCTTCAAGGCGGGGAAGACGAAGGCCACCACATTGCAGCTCGAAAACCGTCTCCTCCATCACATGCTGGCCAAGTCTTACACCCCAGCCTCAGACAGTGCCAGCGCCATCACCAAGAGATCCCTGTACTTCATTCAGTCCATGCGCCAGAAGGATCATCCCCTGCACTTGGGCTCGGTGGTGGCGAGGACCTTCGAGAAGAGTGCTTCTGAGCTGAAGAGACTCCACTACACTTCTCTCATCACCTGCCTGGCAGAGTATTTCCAGATATCCCTGCAGGGGTGCACGGAGCAGGGAGCGACCACTCCCTTTGGCCGGGCTACGCTCACCAAAATGCTCCTGCTTCGAGAAGAGCGAGGAGTCATGTGGATGGAGGGGTTTCCTCAACCTCAGATTCCAGAGGCGGTCCAGCAGGAGGTTCCAGAGGGTGCAGCTGATGAGGAGGTCCAGCCCGAGGACGTGGATGACACTGCTACTGCCCGCCCCACCACCTTCGAGTACGGGGGTGGCAGTTCCAGTTTCCCGGGGCAGGATTACTTCACCTCCCAGTTCGAGCAGCTGCGTCTCCAGAACCAGCAGATCATCGACCATCAGATGCAGTTCCAGCAGTAGTACGCGGCTCACCAGGCCGAGTACCACCAGAGGATGGCGGGTTACGATGAGAGATTGGACCAGCTCCATACCCAGCAGGGAGTGACTCTCGCACACATCGAGCGAGAGAGGCGCCGCTCTCGGCGCATGCAGGAGGTACAGGGGCATCTGCTCCAGCTGCTACCGGGCGAGCAGCCAGTCTAGAGGACTCCCTGGGAGGACTCCCCACTTCCACCTCCCCCAGCGGATGGTGATGATGGTGCTGATGGTGGTGACGCCTTCATGAACGACATCGTCTTCGATCTGGATAATCTTGGCGACGAGTAGGCTGTACTCGTTGCCCATATCAGTGTGTTTTGTTTTCGTTATAGACTTGTGTGTGTTTGCTCCATGTGTGAGGAGCTTGAACTTGGTGTCGTTTGTTTTTGTTTTCGGTTTTCTTTTGTGGATTGTTTTTTTCTGTAGCCGTCTGGGCTAACACTTATCCCTAACGCACAGTGTGCTAGTGTGTTCTTGGTGTTCGATTCGTGCAGAACTGTCCATCTTCCCGTTTGTTTCTCGCTGACTGGTCCACTTCTAGTCCCCCAGCAGTTTCAATCCGGTAACATCGTTCCCCTTCTCTATCCCTCTGCTCCATTGAGGGCAATGTCGTGCTTAAGTGTGTGTGGGGGGGGGGTGCTTTGTATCAGTTGGAATGTATATTTGCGTGCTTGGAGCCTAGTCCACTGTCCAAATCTCGAGATTTGAGGGCTCCAAGTACTGCTGTTTGATCATATTGGCACTGTGTTTTGATTGATGAATTGAATGGTTTTCGGATTGATGCATGACAGCTTGATTGTGACTAGGACAACCTATGATGAGGACTAAGACGTGCAGTAGAGTTGTGTAGGGGTTCAGTTTTCCAACTGTTTACTTACCAACTGTGACTTGGATTGATTACTTGTTCTTGACAGTCTCTTATGCATCTAGTTCAGGGTATCAGAATGTGAGATAGAGCATATAGGTAGCCATGTGAGATTTGAGCCTGCTCGTTTCTTTCTTGTGCGATAGATCCCTCTTCCATGATGTGTAGCATTCACGTTGTCACTAGCTAAGATGATGGGGGCATAGGATTAGCCCACGACCAAATTTGACTGTCCTGATGTGTCATATCCCCTAGTTAGCCCTTTTGAGCCGCGTGTTATCCTTTCTTTTGGTCTGAAATGAAAAAAATCACCTTGTTTACATCTTTTAGAAGGTTCCACAGAGTGGTTTTTACATATTCTCTGCTGTTTCTGCTAAATTTGATGTGAGTGTTGGAGGTAGTGCTTAAAAGTTGAGTTGGGCAGGTGTTTGAAATATATGCAGAAGTGGTGGCTCTCTTAAGAAATGCAAAGAAAATGAAAGAAAAACAAAGAAAAATTGAAAGCAAAGAGAGCCACTACCAAAAATCTGAATAATGCCCAGTAAGTAGTGTTTCTTAGCAGTCTGGCTTGGAAATGCTGACATTTATACCTCCTTCGCTCTTGTGCTCTTGAGATATTGAGTAATGCAGAATAGCAGAAAGGAAATACCGGTTTGTTTGACTGTGATTGTTTAGGTTTGGAAATGTGGAACCCTGTGCTATGAATACTTCCACCACCTAAAAGGCCTTTTCCCCATGTCCAAGACCCTAGCCAGTCATTTGAACCTGTGTCTAAGACCTCCTGATTAGTTAGTGGTGACACCCCATATGTGAACTCTAGCATTTAGAGGCTGCCATCATGGTGAAGAGATGTTAGGGATTGAGAGAAATAACATGCGCATTTTTCGCATCAAATTGTCCTGACCCCACTGGTCGAGAGTGAGTGATTCATTTTTCATATTCTATATACTCGTGTACCCCGGTGAGGACCTAGATTGCTCGGTCTCTATTCTGATGTCTTGAGTTGGATGCATGAGTTGACTGTTTTGAGTAAGTGGTTGAGTCAAGTCTAGGTTGGTTGGTGAACAGAAGGGAGACTCTTCCTTTACTTGATTTTGCTGCACTCGAATGTCCTTTGTGGTGGTTGTCCAGGTTGCTGTTTAAGTTGGTCAGGTATTGATGTTTGAAAACCAGTACGATTCACGTGTTCTGTGCCTTTATGACTTGTCCCCAATGTTAGTTGATTGAAATATGTGAGCTTACCTTGTGTCTGACTTGGTTTGCTTGGGGACAAGCAAACGGTTAAGTGTGGGGGAGTTTGATAGACCGTTAATTACACATGTTTTTACCCCTGTTCTTACACCGTTTGAGGTGTTGATTCTCGTGTTTTAGGCCGATTTCACGCTAGGTTGTGCTTGTTTGTCATATTTCAGGTCCTAGTACGTGAATGGAGGCTTGGGAGCGAGTTTGGGGTCGATTGTACGAGAATCGGACACGTGGCGAGGTGCTAAGGAAGCTGCACGGGCATTCCTGGAAACCACATGGCCGTGCAACTCACAATTGTGGCCGTGTGATTTTTGTCGAGAGCATGCACGGGCAGGATGGAGATCCCGCACGGTCGTGCGACCCTGGCCGTGTGGGAAGCCTAAGTTCGAACTAATTGGAACGCAGCGTTTTGACTCGCACGGGCAACTGGCTGAGCCACACGGCCGTGTGGCCTGCCCGTGCGAGTCGGGAAATCTTGGTTTTTTCAGCCAATTTCGAGCCACAAGGGGGAGGATCGGACTTTTTGAGCAAAAACAGAGCCCTAGAGAGAGAAAGTACGAAGAACACATCCTAGAAGCTATCTTGGAGCTGGGTTTCATTGAATCGAGCTTGGAGATCGTCCTAGGAGTGGAAATCATCATCCCGGAGCAGATTTTCCTCATCTTTATGAGTATGACTACTCTGATTACTGTTTTCCTCTCTCTCTCTATGGAGTAGATCCCCTCTCTCACTTGGGGATGAAGAACCCTAGTTCTATGTGTTAGGGATTGATTGTAATGACTTGGGATGATATTACTGTTTGATTTTAATCGAATGATGCATGTTTATTGAGTCAATTGAAGTCTGATCAACTTTTCCTGATTCCTGCTGCAATCTGAGATAGATAGAATCTGATTAGGTTGCTAGAGTCTCATCATTCGATAGTAGGAGATTGGCTATGCGAGAGTTAGCCAGTTTACTGCTTTATACTGGAATTCAATTCCAGTAGTGGAGTTCTGTTCTTACTGCTTCAGCTTTCTATCCCGGTGAAGACTAGTCGTCTGCCGGGTAGTTAGACTGAGAGGGCTCGGTCAGCTTAAGAGATTCCAAGCTACTGTCGGATCTTCCGCAGTCTAATCAATAGTAAATCAACCCAGGGAAATTGCAATTGAACCTAACTAAGGAGCTAGGGGGACTCATTCCCGAGTGACTCTTACCTGCTTGAGAAAACCGTATGGATTCCTGCTTTCTTTCTGCTTTTGCTTTTAAACAACAATCACTTACTTTAGTTGGCTAGATAACAGAGAACCACTGAGTAAGCAGTAGATCTAGACCCCGGGTTGATAATATAACTTGCCTGTTACTGCATTCCCGGTCTGCGATTATACTTGGTCGCAGATTGGTGTTGTGTTTTGGCGTGTCAATATGTTTGTGTGCTTGGAGCCTAGTCCACTATCCAAATTTCGATTTCAGAGCTCCAAGCACGTGTTCCTTGCAATTGTCTACTCAGTATGCTTTGAATTGACAGTCTTTATAGTAATATGCAACCTAGGGAGGTAGTGTAGCGCTATGGAGGATGTTGATGCATTTAAGAAGTCTCATTTCCTCTTCATATTGTGTTGGTTGATTGTGTGAATTAGTGATCTTGGGACCTTTGAATTGTGTGGTATTGTGGACTCTCTACCTGTCATGGACTCCTGTATCATGTTTTGAAAAAAAGGTGCTCTAAAATGTGCTTTTAAATTAACGTCTCCCGTGCGGAAAGCACTGAAAGTGTTTAAGGGGAGATGGGAATCCATTCCCAACTTCCACCTACTACTTCCAGCCCCTTTACATTTATTTCCCCCGCATGAGGCTCGAGACATCTGCTCCTGGCATGGCTGGTAAGAGCCGGGCTCCCTTAAAACCTTTAATAGGTGGGAGCCCCATTTTCTGGAAATAACAGGTTGGAACCCTTGCAAAAGAAGGGAAAAAAGAAACAAGAAACAAGAAAATGAAAAAAGGGGTTCCAACCATCTTTAAGAAAAAAAAATAGAGCACCTTGAAAAAAGTGACTCCATGATCTTTCTGTTTTTGAGAGTCTCTTTGTCCACGAATCACTTGTCCTTCGATCACTATATTGCATGATCCCGACTCGGGACTAGAGTTCTCGCCGAAGAAGCTAGGAGGTGTCGTGTGCGTTGGTTGACCTCATAAGTTGCTAATTGACTAGTAAGTCCTCTACCGATGATCGGGGTTGCATGTTGCTGTAAAGGTCTGGAGAGTTGCATTGGTTTGAGTCATGTTTGCTTGGGGACAAGCAAACGGTTAAGTGTGGGGGAATTTGATAACACCATATTTGCCCATGTTTGCACACTTGTTTCTTAACCGTTTTGGCTCCAATTTGTGGTGTATTGGCCTATTTTATTCTAGGTTGTGTCATTTTGTCATATTTCTGGTCCTAGTGATTAAGGGAGGCATAGGCGCAACTTTCGGGTCAATCGGAGGTCGTTTGGTCACTCAAAAGCCTCTCAAAAGTGGAGCTGAGAATGAATTACTGGCAGACTCCCTAAAAATACGGTCGTAATTCACAAATTACGGCCTGTATTCCCTAAATTATGACTGTAATTCAAAAATTACTGCCACTATTTTTTATGCCGAGCCTTGTGATGGCTCAAGTACAAAATGCGGTCAGTATTCCCAAAAATATGGTCGTATTTCTCAGTGTCTAGCCTGTAATTTCACTTCCAAGAGGAGCCTCGGATGCGCTGAGAGTTAACTAAAACGCGCGTTTTGCGCAAAATATGGGCAGGGAAGAACTACGACCGTATTTTTGCCCGTACTTCGCCCAGAATCGAGTTGAAAGAGGCAGATTTGAGCCAAAGGAAGGGGATTCAGCTTTGTGGAGCAAAATGAGAGTTCTAGAGAGAGAAAGTGCGAAGAACAAACCCTATGAGCTATTTGGAGTGGATTTCTTACCATTGAAGCCCATGTTGCATCCCCATGAGTGAAGATTGACATCCTAAAGCAGATTATTCCCATCTTTATGAGTACGAGTGCTTTAATTTCTGTTTTCCTCTCTCTATGGAGTAGAACTTTCTCTCACTTGGGTATGAAGAACCCTAGTTCCATGTGTTAGGGATTTGAGTTGTAATGACTTTTGGATTAAGATACTACTTTGTACCGGAATCCAATTCCAGTAGTGGAGTTCTATGTTAATTGCCTCAGCGTTCTATCCCGGTGAAGACTAGTCGTCTACCGGGTAGTCTGTCTGAGAGAGCTTGGTAAGCTTGAAGAGATTACAAGCTACTGTCGGATCTTCCACAGTTTAATCAACAGTAAATCAACCAAAGGAAATTAAAACTTTGACCTAACTAAGGAGCTAGGGGGACTCATTCCCGAGTGACTCTTCCCTTGCTTAAGAACTTCGAACAATTTCCTCCTTTCTTACCGCTTTTGTTTATAATCACTCTCACTACACTTAGTCCCGCTAGATAATAGATAATCACGGAGTAGACAGTAGATCTAGACCCCCACGTTGATAAAGTAAACTTACCACTATTCTGCATTTCCATTATGTGATTACACTTGGTCGCAGTTTGGTGTTGTGTTTTAGCGTGTCAGTGATTCATGGCAAGCCCGTGGAAGTAGGCATTTTGTTGAATCATCGTCATGAGAGAGGGCTTAATCTCAAAGTTTTTGGTGCCACGGGTGGATGTAAGATGGGAGATTGGATATCCTCTTCTCATGGAGCCATGTAATAGCCCATAGTCCTTGGCCCTTCCTCGGCTCCTGCTTCTCCATTTGGCTTTGGAAGTGGATTAGCCCCTCGGTGTTGATTTGCCGCCATCTCAACAACAACTCCTTCTTTAATTACTTCAATTCCGGGATCAACTTGTTGTCACCTTTCTCCACTTCTCCTTCTTCCCTCTGCTTTCTCCCTCTCTCAAGCTAGAAGTCGGAGGGCCACTTGATGTCCCCATCCAGTGGTGTTAAAGGCGCCGGATTGCTCCGGGTCATGCACCTCCCTACACATACTCAAGGAACACAACACGTCTAGCACAAGCAAACACTTCACAACTTAACAAAAACATAAATTAAAAGCTAGATTAAAACCAAACTTACTTTTTACGATAACGGATCGAAGTGCCCGACAACGATGCCAAAAACTTGACTCACTCTGACTATCAGAATAAAATCCCACCTAAGGTCCAAGTATAAACCTTAGATGGGTGCAAGATAGGGCAAGTATGTTTAAATATCGATCCAGGCCGGTCCATGTACCGCTACTTTGATTGTTTGAAACATTATCTAGCGAATTGGTTTTGGTGTAAACAAAGGTCTAAAACTAAATTGCTTTGTAAACGTAAAATGGATTTAACTCTAGTCGAGAAAGCTTCACTCGGGTGTTGCTCCCTCTATCTAACAATTATGACTTGAAGAATCGAGCGATCGTGTGTGGTTAGGGGGTCACAAACCACAGGGAAGTCTAATAAGCAGCCGAAGCTACCCTCTTAGCATCTAGGTTGAGGAATGGGATACGATCCAAGCCACTAATATGAGACTCTCAACCTATCAACTAAGGAATGGTTAGACTTCACCCTCGAATTGGAGTTCATAGAATGCCCAAGGAAACCCATCTCTAATAGAGCCTCTTAAGTTAAGGAGGGTTCTCTCTAAACTAACTTAGGAGGCATTGAATGCCCAAGGAAACCCATCTAGAAATGAGCCTCTTAGGTTAAGGAGGGTTCTCTCTAAACTAGATTAGGAGGCATTGAATGACCAAGGAAACCCGGCTCAAATCGAGCCCCTTTTGGGTAAAGGTGGTTTCCTATCTAAACTACCCAAGGAGGCATGAATGCCCAAGAACGCCCATCTTAATATTGAGCCTCTTAACTTAAGGAGCTTTCCTCTCTAAACTATCCTAGGAGGCATGAAATGCCCAAGAACACCCATCTCAAATAGAGACTCCTAACCTAAGGAGGCTTTCTCTCTAAGCTTGGTTAGAATGGCAATTAGATTGATAGACTTTCACACAACACAATCATTTCTGAATAATACCTCCACATTCACATTAAAACACCACCACACACAAATCATTCAATTCATACTAGCATTCACATAATTGTTGCTAGGGTTCACAAGCACACAAGTGAAAGAAGGGACTACTCCATGCTAGGAGAAGGGAAAACAGAAGAGAGGGAAAGGGAAACCATCAAGAAGATGCAATCCTTGCTCCTTGTACTGAAGAAATCCTCTTTTGAGGAAGGAATTCCCAAAACCTTGCTTGGAGATGAAATCCTAGCTTTCCCTCTTCTTTGGTTTGTCACTTTCTCACTCTAAAATCTGAAGAAGGAGAAGTTTCTCACACTAGGTCTCTCCATTTCTTCTTCCTTTCAGCTTTTCTTTTAAGTTGAGATCGTGCCCAGTTCACGACCGTGAACTCAGTGCTACGAACAAAACACATCGCTTCATTAGCTCGGGTTCACGGTCAGTGACCTCTGTTCACGAAAGACCATGAACATCTTGTGTGTCAGCAACCTGCAAACCCTCTTTGTTCGCTCTTCGCCCCATGGGTCATGGCTTCAGTTCACGGTCCTATAAAACCGTGAACTCCAACGTCTAGTCGTGAACAGCGGGCTTCTCCACCTCTTAGCCCGGTCTTTGATCCTTTTCTTCCAACTTTTGACTCCGGGTTTGGATTTACCTGTTAGGATCTGAAACACACTGAAACAAAAGCAACCTCGCGTAAAACCAACCTTTCTGGAGTTCAACTGCAACAAACATCAAAGATAATCAGGGATAAAAAGAGTACAATTAGGCCCGAATCAGGCTGTCCAAACTCCGATTCGAGGGTGAAGTCTAACCAATCCTTAGCCAATAGTTTGAGAGAGTCTCATTAGTGGCTTGGATCGTATCCCTTTTCCTCGACCTGAGATTAAGAGGGTAGCTTTGGCTACTTGTTAGACTTCCC